AAAGAGAGGGTGGAAGGAGAGAGGGGGCACGCCCTGAGTCAGATCAAGGGACAGATGCACACAAACGGGCTAACATTCTTAACACAGCCCCCCCTCAATGAATCACTCTTAACACACAGGGACCGTTATTGGCACAAAAACAGAGAATGCGGCGCTCAACAAGCTACGCACAAGGCTGATGCTGTGGCAAACACGCAGTGACACAAATACACACTCCGTGACTTCCATTCACACAGGCTGACGCAAATAAAGGAAGAGACCAAACATAAACACAATCAGACGTACACACATGAACTACAAACACCTGGCAAGACCACATACACCTAGGCTGCAGCCGGCAGACACAAAAACCTCCCTGCATGTTGAGAGGCACACACCAAGTTGAGGTTGAAGTGGACAGATAATACATGCCGGAACCCATAGAGGTTAATGTGGACTTGCTCTCACAAAAATACAGCCAAGATTTCAAAACACAGCTGGACTTACTCAGGATGCTTAAGACATTCATCGAGACGCAGACTGATACAACAGCACTCACTTGCATGGACACGAGGGCTGTGGCAGATACACAAGAGGGGAGACATGTGCACACAGGCGGCACAGACACATCTACACACTGGCTGCTAGCACCCCATGTTCATCCACCCAGAGGGCATGGGGCCGGGCTGGTACTCAGGGAGAGCAGACAGAGGCAGAAAGGTGTTGCTACTGTCTGCTGAGAGTCACACGTGCGTACACACACACACACACACACACACACACACACAGGGGTCCATGGGACATAGTCCATACAAATATGCTCACCCTGTGACAAATACACAGACACCACAGATATCCATGGACACAGATATGTATACACACAGACAACCACAGTCAGTGGAAACATACTAAAAAGCACACTAAGTTGTCCATTGACAAAATCTAATTCCATGGAAGCAAAAGCCCACACCATGATACTCACACCCATGGGTGCACACCTGTAAGCTGACATTGTCTTCTCTATATAGAAAGGTATGGGAAATAGCCACAAAACGCCCTGCGATCCCTCACTCTGCCACTTCTCCCCCAACACACATACACATTCCACCCTCACACAGTGCGTCACAGCTACGAGCACACAAACACAAAGGCAGACGCAGGCTGACACTAGTGTACTCACACACACACACACTCACCTCTCCCCCACGCACTGAGACAGCTACAGAAGCTGGCCCTTGCTAACACCCCCGCCTCATCCAAAGAGGTTGATGCTGACAGACACTGAGACACAGATCCAAAGGACATGGATACACACCCAGAACCTCCCCCAATGTCCCCCTCCACTAACACACACACACACACACACACACACAATCGCCCTCACAGTTGCACCAAATACTGATACATGCACAGACCTCTCCCACCTGTGTTCCCCCCCATTTTTCCTTCTTCCTGGGATGGAGTTGGGCAACCGGCCTCCTCTCCCTCCCCCTCTCTGGGGTCCTGCCAAGCTGACTCAGTCCCCAGAGCCACTGGCCTGAGTCAGCCCTCTGGGGGCTGGCATGCTCACCATCTTTCCCTTGCACACTCAGGGTCCCCAGAATGCCGGGAATGTGGGCACCTCCCTCCACCCTGGGAGACCCTCAGTTAGGAGTCCCCTCTCCATCCCAGCAGTTGGAGAGCAGGTTGGGGGTGCTGGAAGCTGATACCCTACAGGGTCCAGCCACCTCCCTCTGACTAATTGAGTCTCCCCCTTCTGTATTCGTCACTATCTTTTCTCAGTGAAGGGGAGCTCCCTGTGTCCATGGTCCCCCAGCAATGCCATGGACCGCTGTGTGACCCCAAGCTTGGTCCTACCCCATCTTGGGTTACCTCTGTGGTCTGTCCCTCTCTGTCTCTGATTCTCTCTCTCTCTCTCTCATTTTCTGTCTCCCACTTTCATCTTCTCTCTTTACTTCACGTTCTGTACCCACCAGTGGGGCCCTTCAGTGACAGGGGTAGACAGGCTGGGGGAGGTGGAGGAGAGGAGGGCACGGTTGATTCTGGTGCCCTGCTTGGGGTCAAGGGCTGACAAAAGGCCATCAGGCCTACACACACTTGGGCTATGGAACAGCTCAGAGGAAACCCAGGACAAAGAATTCTATTCAGAGACAGGCTGGGGTAGCTGGAGGGAGAAAGAGCAGAGAGACAGGACACGGAGAGACAGAGCGATGGAGAACAGAGACAGAAGGAGATGGAGAAAGCGTATGGGGAGAAGTGAGGAGGTAGACAGGGGCAAAGATGCAGAGATAGACTCAGAGGCAGAGACACAGGAACCAAGAGAGACGGACAGAGAAGGACAGAGGGACAGGCAGACACTCATACAGGAGCATGAAGGGCACGCTTCTCCCACTTTCATCCTGCCAGGGCCTCTACAGTGAGCTGGCCACATCCCTGGACTCACCTGGAACATGAAGTATGTGCTGGGGGGTGTGGCCCGCGGCCGCAGCCAGGGGGACAGCATCCTGGAGCCAGAAGAGGTCCACGGGCTCTGGGGGACCCTGGGCCCGGCAGCTCAGGTTGAAGGGGGTGTTGGCAGTAACAGTCCTGTCCTCAGGCTCCTCCAAGAAGTGGGGCAGGCCTGGGTGGGGAGTGATGGCAGAGGCTGGGTCTCTCTGAGCGCCCCAGGTGCCTGACTCACTGCCAGGCTGTTGGAGGCTGCAGGCTCTTTAACCCGTATGTCCCCTCAAGCCTCTACCCCCAGGGCACATCATCCCAATCCCTGTTTCCCCCAACCAATGTCGGACCCCCAGGACATATAAGCCCCTCCTTCTTTTCCAGAATGTCTGACTTCTCATCCCATTTTACCAATGAGGAAGCGGGGGCCCCTGAGGATGGGAAGACGGTTAAGTCATGCCTCTGACACCTTATCTGTTTGAAAAATATCCTACCCCAACCGTGGCTGACCCCAGGATAGCCAACAACACTCCCCCTACCTCAAGATTTCTTCTTCCACAGGATATATAATCCCAATAATTTATGGCCCAAGCTTCCTGATCCCTTCAGATCTCTGACATTCTTAGTATATATGTCCCTGGCAGACATCCTGAATCTTCCAGCACCCTCTGACCCCTGGGGTTCCTGACCTCCCATGACCTCTGAGCCCAGAGCTCACCCTCCAGTCCAATATAGCCAGGCTGGGACACAAAGTTCCTTCCTCCCAGGACCACTGCGCACTGGTACCATCCCACGTCCGAGAGCTGCAAGGACAAGATCCTGACAGGGACAGAGAGGTTTGGGATCAGAGCTGGATACGGGGAGGGACGCATCAGAACTGAAAGATGGGGGTCTGGACTGGAAACACGTGAGCTAAGAGGTGGGTGCTATTATTAACTCCTTTTACAAAAGAGGAAAGTGAAACCCGGGGCTACATCACATGCTCACAGCCACACAGCCGGCCAGTGGCCAAGCTGGGGCTCCAACCCCGGTGGAGCGCCCGGTGGTGACTTTTTCACCCACCATGTGATGGAGGTGGTGGGGGTCAGGGGTCAGGGGGGATGTAGGGATGTGGTTGGTCAGGGAGAGGCTGGTCACCTGAGCTTGCTGACCACTTTCCAGTCGTCCTGCTCATCTTCACCCAGGGGCACCTGGATCTGGGTGCTGTCTGCCAGCTCCAAGGCCTGTCCATCCCGGAGCCAGGTCACCTCAGGGGGCTCCCCATGAACCAGAAGCTCACACTGAAGGGTCCCCGTGAGTTCCCGGGCACCAGTGATGTTCCCTGGGCTCCCCACAAAGGGGTCCTCCTGAGCCTGTGAGCCTGCAGGGAGATGGGGAAAAGCCGGTTTAGGAAACTCCACTTCCCTCCAATTCCTCAGTCCCACCCTCTGGGCCTGCTTATGGCAGCCACGACCTTGCCAGGCCTTTAGGCCCACATAGCTGTAGAGTGACCTCAGCGGGGGCGGGAGGGAGGCGCCTTGAGGGGAGGATGGGAGCCTTCCCAGGGGATTAGGGTCCAGCCTTCATCCTTCAACTTTGGGAAGAAGGCCCGGGATCTGGCAGCCTCCCACGTCCTGGCCTGCCGGGCAGGGCCAGCTCTTGCCCTGCTGCCCTCCCTTAGGGTCTCCAGAGACTTAACAGGTCAGGCTGGTGGACGGTGGGGAAGAAAAGGAGGGAAGGAGAGGGAGAGGGGGAGGGAGAGAGCGAGAAGGAGAGACGGGGAGAGAAGCCAGAGAAAAGTTGAGCAGGGGGAGTCAGAGACAGAAAGGAACAGAGACCCAGAGAGAGACAGAGGGTGAGAGATGAAGAGACACCCTAGGGGAAAAAAGTGGTGGAGAGACACGAGAAAACGGCAGTGACTGATAGAGATTGGGAGAGAGGGAGGGAGGGAGACCCACAGAGATGGTAGAGCTGGAGCCTGAGATGGAGCCTCGGTCCCAGAGATGGAGCAGACAATGGTGGGGCAGGGACCAGGGTGTGGGGGTGACTGTGCTGAGGGTTTTCCCCTAGGGTTTCCAAGCCCTCCCCGTCCTGCTGCTGGACTGAGTACTCCTTTCTGGAAATTTCCTTCCCTGGAAGCCCCCATCTCAGCCTCTCCCCAGGGCCCCCATCCAGTCCAGCCCCCACCCTGCCCTCAGCTTCTACTGGGTGTCTGTCTCAGCCCGTGCATCTCTTCCCGTCTCTACCCTCCTAGTTTCTATTTCTTGTCCCTCTGTTCCTCTCTCAGAGCCCCTCTCTGTCCCCCGGGGCCTCTCTGGGTTTGTCTCTGTGTCTCCCATCTCCCTCTCTGTTGTCCCAAGAAAATTCCCTGAGCCAACTCGGGACCACCCCAACACCTGCCATCTGCCCCTCTCCCACCTCCCCCAGCCCCTCCACAAGTGGTCCTGCCCCTCAGGCCACCATCACTCACCGTTGGGGGCCACGCACGCCCAGCAGCACAGAGCCAGCCACCAGGCCAGCGGGACCCTGCCCATCCTCGGGGCAGCGCGCGAGCTCTGCCAAACTTTCCTCAGAAGTTGCTGGGCACACGGAGGGGGAGGGGGCAGGGCCGGGTTGTCCCCGGCCCTCCCCCCAGCTCCGGGCTCCCCGGCTTTGGCTCTGCCCGCCTGGCACAGGAAGGGCTCCTCACCGGCTCCACTCCACTCCGTGGCCACCTTCCCTGCTCCCTGATCTTCTTCTCCCTCCCAGACCCACCCACCGGGCTAGGAGCCGAGGGGGCCACTGGGATTTCGAGGGGTTAACTTCAGAAAGAAGAGGAGAGGACCAGCCCTGTCTTAAAGGGACCCTGGAGGGAGGCTGAGGAGGGGAAGGCGCCCTGGTGGCTTCACCCCTGAGCCTGGGCCAGAGAGGCAGGGAGGCTGTGTGTTCCTCTGCCCGGCACAGGGCGCTGTCGCCCTGGGCTCTCTGGATGTCCCGTAAACATTCCTTCAGAACTCCACTCCCCGCTCAGCCCGGCGATGCCCCCTCTCCGGCCTCCACCCCCAGCCCAGCCCCAGTCAGGCACTCCTCTCACACTCACAGCTCCTCCCCACTCCTTCCTCCTCCTACCCTTTCCTCCTCCAAGGACACACACACACACACACACACAGTCCAATGTCATCAACACACAGAGGCTGGGACAGGAGGAGACATGCAGGGGCACGCTGCCAGCCCATGGGACATACTCAGAAGACAAGCCAGGTCAGAAACTCCAGTCCTGGAGAAATCTCAGAAACCAGAACCTGAAGAACACCTGCTGGTGGCATCCCCGGGTACCCTCAGGGAGATGTGGAGCCTCCTGCCCAAGGGACCCACCTGAGCACAGAAACAGCACCTGCCCTGGCTGGTGTGGCATCAGCATCATCTTGTACCAAAAGGTGGTGGGTTCCATCCCCGGTCATGGCACGTGGAGGCAGTCAATCAATGTTTCTCTCTGACATTCGTCTCTCTCTCTCTCTCTCTCTCTCTCTCTCTCTCTCTCTCTCTCCTCCTCTCTCTAAAAATCAATAAAATTTTAAAAAAGAATCTATTTTTTAAAAAGGAACAAGACCCCAGGGTGTCCTGTGGGAGCACTTTGGGGCTGGTGCCTGAAGAGTTGGGCTGGAATCCCAGCCCCACCAGGAAGTGGTGATCTTAGAAGTGACTAGCCTCTCTAGGCCACAGCTTGTCCATCTATAAGATGGGAATAAGCAGGCTAGAGGGAGGACATCCTGGTCCAGTGCATGTGCAGTTTTTCTTTGCACATGATGATGACCGCTGACCAGGCGCCCTTGATTTTTGGCATGCCTTCTGTGTGTTTCTCTGTGCACTTGCATTGTGGTCCTTGCAGACCTGGGGCCTGTATGTGGGTTCTGCTGCCTGTCCATTTCTATGCCCCTATGTATTTTGCACATGGAGTTCTCTGTAAGCCTGCATTTCTGGGGGCTGGAGGATGTGGAGGGGTGGGTGGAGTTGGGCAGCCATCTCTCTGCCCTTAACCCTTCTGTGCGTTGTTATCCCTACAGCTCATCACAAAGTCCTGTCCTTTCAGCCTCCTGATGTCTCCCACCTGCCCCTTCTCCCATCTGAATGCACCCCCATCCTTTCTTACCGGCCCCCTGTCCTGGCCTCCTCCCTGGCCTCCTTGCGTCCATTCTTGCTCTCTCCAAACCATCTCCCATTCAGCAACAAGACGGGTGTTTCAGAAATTCACATCTGCCCTGTCCCTCCCCTGCTTGACCTTAGCTCCTTACTGCCCTCAGGGCGAGCTCCCAGCTCCCTAGCCTGGCACTCAGGGCTCTTCACCATCAGCTTCCCTGAGCTGTCTCGTTTGTGTCCTATTTCAGTGATGGCCTTAGCATCCATCCTGCCACCCAAGCCTGACTTTCTGGGTTCTCTTGAATCCCTTACCTGGCACTAAGTTACCTGGTCCCATGGAGGACTCAGCTTCACAAACCTTTCTCCCACCTGGCCCTGCCCTGTTCTCTCCCTGACACCTCTGCTCTGGCCTCCTCCCTGGTCTTCCTGCCACCACTCTTCCAGACACAGCAAGAGGAGTGTGTTTCAATCCCAAATCACCCTTTCCCTCCTTTTCACCAAACCTTTCAAGATAAAGCTCCAGACAGCTTGCTTTAGGTCCCCTCATGTCCACTTGACCCTCCCCTCGGGTCCCCAGACTTTTTTCCCTTGATGGGAAAATGTGTATCTGTCTCCCTCTTTTCCTCTCTCTAAAAATCAATAAATTTTTTTAAAAAAATCTATTTTTAAAAAAGGAACAAGACCCCAGGGGTCTTGTGGGAACACCTGGAGGGTGGTGGTGGTGGTGTGTGCCTGAAGTGTTGGGCTGTAGCCTTTTGTCCCCAACTCCTACACATGCCTCAGCCCCATCTCAACATCCCTGCTCCATTGCATCAGGGTCTGGCCCTTCCCAGTCTAATCTAGGTTCCACTATTCACTCACAATATGCTATTCTTTTCTTTAACAACACTGCATAGGTTGCCATGACATAGTAGTCCTCCATTATCCATGGTTTCCCTTTCCTAGTTTCAGTTACACGCGGTCAACCACGGCCTGAAAATATTAAATGGAAAATTCCAGAAACAAACAATTAATATGTTTTAAATTGCATGCTATTCTGAGTGGATTGATGAAATCTGGTGCGGTCCCTGGGATGTGAATCATCCCTTTGTCTATCGTATCCATGCTATGTATACTCCCCACCCAGTAGACACTTAATAGCTGTGGGTTATCAGATCTGTTAGGGAGAGAGCGAAAGTATTCACATAATTTTTATTACAATACAGTGTTATGATTGCTCTATTTTATTATTACTTACTGTTGTTAATCTCTTACTGTGCCTAATGTATCAATTAAACTTTGTCATAGCTATGTGTGTATAGGAAAAAACATAGTGTGCTGAGGTCCAACCCCAGCAGGTCCAGGGATCCCCAAAGGTGTGGATGGAGTCGGCGAAGAAGGAATGACATGGAGACAGTGTTCAGTTGATCAGCAGCCTTGCCAGGATCTCTAGCCATAATCTCCAGCCAAGTTCTGTGTCCATGTTCTCTTGCTAGGTTCTCCAGTCAGGTTCTCCAGCCAGGTTCTGTAGCCATGTTCCCTTGCTAGGTTCTCCAGCCAGGTTCAGTCACCAGGTTCTAGTCAGGTTCTCTTGCCATGCTCTATCCAGGTTCTGTAGCCGGGTTCTGTCTCTAGGATCTTCAGCCAGGTTCTCTCGCTAGGTTCTGTCTCTAGGTTCTGTTGCCAGTTTCTGTCCAGGATCTTTTGCCATGTTCTGTCTCTAGGTTCTGTCTCTAGGTTCTGTCTAGGTTCTGTGTCTCTAGGTTCTGTATCCTGTTGTCTTGCCACATCTGTATTTATACCAGTTGATTCCAATCCTATCAATCTCTATTCCAAAGGTTAGGGCGTTTCTTATCTCCATTCCAGGGAGTAAAGATTATATAGCTTAAGCATGATTGTTCATAGTTAAAGTAATTAATTACCAGCCTGGCACTAAGTCAAGGGGTTTTATTCCCTCCCTAACTTCAGGGGAAAATCCCTACCTGGGGAAACAACCCTTCTCAGAGAGGTGACCTTGGTTAAAACACATAGTGCCAAGAAGATGAGCAAACATATTAAGAACAGTATGCCATATATGCCAGGTCCCTCGAAACAGCAAGGATGGACCAGCTCCCGGCAATAGTGTATATAGGGATCAGTACTATTGGTGGTTCTAGGCATCTACTGAAGGTCCTGAAACATGTCCCCTGTGGGTAAGGGGGGACTGCTGTATATTTATATATATATTTATTAATGTGACTATGTGTCTCATATCTGTCTCCTCCTACTGGCCTGTGGGCTCTGGGGGAGCAGGGACTAGATCTATTCTGGTGACCACTGCATCTCAGCTACCCTGTAAAAGTCCTGCCATAAAGTGGCCAATTCATTATTGTGGCATTTTGGAGATGCAAATATGTGTAAAGGTCTACCCACCTGTTTGAATATGGTCAGGAGACCTACATATCTAGGGCTCAGTGGACTTGGCTGTGTGCATGACCAACTTGAATCTCTGTTTGTTCACTCAAGAAATGTTAGGGGCAAAGATAGAATATTGGGGACTAGCTATGGCTATGGGAAATATTAATCATGCTCTGTTAACCACGATTGCTTTGTGTTGGTTAAAGTAAGGACATTCTGACCTGGCTGGGAGTTGTAAGCTCCCAGGACCTGGGAGTCAACCTTGGACCTGGGAATCAACTTTGGAACCATTCTCATTCAAGAACTGCCTATTATCATGGAAAGATTAACAACCCTGTTGCCCAAACAATGGAGTCCCACCCCACCCTGCATAGCCTACTTCCCCATGCCTGTAATCCCTACTTCCCCATGTAACCTTTGTCTTACCCTATATAAGCAGCTGGCTTATGGGGGGCTGCAGAGCAGATTTTTGTGGATGACCTGCTGCTCTCCCATACTGCCGGCAGTATTGGAATAAACACTCATATGTGATTCAACCCTGTCTCTGCTTAATTGGCTCAAGTAGTGACAGGCAACACGGACCCATTGATTGTCCAGTTACAGAACTATTTGCTGAGCACTTACCATGTGCTTGCAATTTACTTCCTTTGTTTTTGTATGTATTTCTAATCCTCACCCAGTGGCTATTTTTCCATTGATTTTTAGAGAGAGTGGAATGGAGCGGGGGTGGGGGTAGACATAGAGAGAGAAACATCCATGTAAGAGACATATTAATTGGTTGCCTCCCACACATGCCCCAACTGGGCCAGGGATGGAGCCTGCAACTGAGGTACATGCCCTTGACTGGAATTGAACCCTCAACTCTCCAGTCTGTGGGCCGACACTCTCCCCACTGAGCCAAACCGGCGAGGGCACAATTTACTTTCAAATGCCTTAAAAAATGTGATGGATAAGAGGATAGAAATGTTCCCTGTGCCAGGGGCTGGGGATTCCACAGTGAGCTCATCTCAGGAGGAAGAGAAACAACAACCAGATAAGCACTTATCAGGATGCAACATGGGCAGTGAAAAATAGCAGAGGAGGGTGAGGATTAACAACAACAAAAAGTTATACCAGGATTCTCTTTCTTCTTTTTGGTTAATCCTCTGGAGCAGCGGTCGCCAACTGGTGGTCCGTGAGTTCCGAAAGGTTGGCGACCGCTGCTCTGGAGAATATTTTTTCCATTGGTTTGTAGAGAGAGTGGAAGGGAGTGGGAGAGACAGGGAGAG